GAGCCACTTCCTAGCAAACCAGGTTTGGCAGATTTGAGAATCCAGACAGCCTGCAGTATTGGCCTACATATAAAAGTGTCTTGTAGGGTTATATTGATACGCCAGATTGAATGCTACCCCTTATCCTTGATTATGGGTCCTTTTGATTGTGACTTCTTTGTGCTGTGCACAGAGGTTATTCTGTTCTTTCAAAAATGCAACAGGTGACTAGTCCTCATGGCTGCATGAATAAATGGCTCCTTTAAATAACAAGTTGCTTCTATCAAATCAAACTATCTGTCTCTTCTTATGGAAAGTAACAGTTAGGCACAGATCTCTTGTGGGGGGAGAGAGTAAATAGTGTGATACAAATTTTGCCTCTTGACACTTGTGAGAGTTATCACATTGTCACTACAAAAGGTTACCGTCTGTATTGAGATGTTTTGTTATTTTGGCACTGTGATGGTTAAGAACAAGTATCCATAATTTAGAGGGAAAGGGTGTTTTCATCCTCTGATTTCATTAACTGTGGATGATTGGGAATAAACTTGGATTAGTTTAGAGGGAAGGAAATTGTGTGAAATCTAAAGCTTTGCATGAAATTGGGCACTTGCTGACTAGAAAGATAAAAGAACAAAGAGTAGTGCTTAAATCGCCCTTTCAGCAGAATTTAATAACGCCGACACATATTAATAACTCCAGCATTCTTTCTTCAAAAGCTTGTTTATTTGTAACTGACTTTAAAACACAATTATATGTGCTGTACTACTAAAGTGTTCACTCTATAAAAGGCAGCATTTTAGGGATACAATAAAAAACAACAACAATACATATATAAATTGCACAAGATAGCAAGTTTGATCCTAACAAGATTACAGTGATTCCCCCCCCCCAATCCTATTTCCAGAAGCATTGAAAATTGCATTTGTACAAGAGATCTAATATCAAAAAAAGACACAAACAGAGAGACAGAATACTTCATAATCTCAATACATATTGCATTGTTTACTTTGCTTTTATACAGCTCCAGCAGGGGTGTAGGAGAACTTTTGAGAGGATTGTGATGAAAACATATGACCAGTAATTTACAGTGGGATCATCCATTTTCGTTCCTGGGCTATCAATTTGTCTTATGAACTCGAAATAAACCACATAATTGCTTTTTTTTGAAAGTGCAATCCTCCAAAATAACAGGATCCAAATGGCAGAAGATCAAGTGGATGCCTACTTTCTGAGCTAGCACAACACGATATGCTGATAGTTGTGGAATATCTAGACATCTCAAGGTATTGAGTATGTATATAGGATCTCATTCATCTTACATGGACCATTATATATTGGCAATGTAGTCTATGCTAATATAGCAATAGCACTTAGACTTATATACTACTTCACAGTGTTTTACAGCCCTCTCCAAGCAGTTTACAGAGTCATCATGTTGCCCCCAACAATCTGGGTCCTCCTTTTATCCACCTCGGAAAGATGGAAAGTTGAGTCAACCTTGAGCCTGGTGAGATTCAAACTGCCAAATTGCAGGCAGCTGGCAATCAGCAGAAGTAGCCTACAGTTCTGCATTCTAACTACTGCACCACCGCGGCTCTTATGGACAGAATATGTTGACACAAGAGACAGAGAGATTGGAGGCAGCTACACTGGGCATTTTGCTTATGTTACTTTTGCTTACTTGCATTACTGATTCTTGCTTTCCCTAAGGATGTGGGTCAATTAAAATGCTAATTTGTAGTATAGTTGTAGTGTAGAATGTAGTGTCCTAGAACACAGGCACAATATCTGTGATGAAGCTCATATATACATATTTATACAATCCCAATTCTCTCTTGTGATGATGGCAATTATAACCCACCACATTTCTCTGAAAACTCTTGCTTTTGCTGGTAGGTCACATTCATATAATATCAATATTTTCTTCTCCACCAGTAATTAGTTTTACTGGCTGTTTTCTCCCTTTTCCTGTTCTTGATTTTAAATATGTTGTTTAATTTGTACATTTAGTACGGCAAGATACTTAGAAAGCACTGTCATATAATCAGTCAGCTGACCTAATGCATCAACTATATTTGGAATTTTCACCAGATTAATGAAACATGCACAATGATACCATGACACCAGCAGTGTCTTTTCTACTGTCTCTGTGTCTATGGAGATTCTCCATCATCCAGGTCATGGTTGTCCCACAGGTGCTTTATCTAAAGGCAACTGGACTTCCTTTGTGTTTGCTTGAAGACGTTTCGCTTCTCATCCAAGAATGCTTCCGAGGAACTGAAGAAGCTTCTTGGATGAGAACCGAAATGTCTTCGAAGCAAAACCAAAGAAAATCCTGTTGCCATTTGAAAAAGCACCCCTGGGACCGTCAATGTGTGTTTAATATCATAAAAAGGCTTGTGTTGTGAAATTGCAATATGTATATTTTCCCATTTGCCCTCCCCTTGGACACATGCATTTCACCATTATGTCTCTCCAATTTGTTTAATACTTGGGAGTAAAGGTTTTTTTTCCCTATCTGTTATGAACCGAATCCAACTGTTAATGGATTGAATTCTCCCCCCTTTCTCTCTTTTGCCCAAAACGTGCTTTAGCTAAGAAAGAAATGACTGAACCCACCACAAAAATAATAATATTAACAGTTATTTTCAAAATGTCAAATTGAAGTCGATTCAGGGCATTCCATCACGTGACTGGTTTACTAGACCAATGTCACCATGCTTGAAGTTGCCAGAAATGTTACTGAAAGACAGTAATTAATTAAGGACTAGTTTGTAATATTTGGCCTGCTTTTATTTACTGAATGCTTATACTTTAAAATGAGTAATTCCATAATTATCTTTCTTCGAAGCAGAGTTGTCAAGATTCAATGCTCTAGTCTTCTGCCCCCCTTCTCGAATGGTATGGTTGTTGTGTGTTTTAAATTGTGTATTGTTTGTTGTCTTTTTTATCCCCTGTTTGTACCTCCTTTCCCTTGACTGAGTTGTGAGCCGCCCTGAGTCCCCTTCGGGGAAAAGGGCGGCATATAAATGAAATAAATCCTAATCCTAATCCTAATCCAAGCTACAACAAATTCATAATCCAGTTAAACAGTACCAGCAACAGTTTAGTTAACTAAACAATTGCTTTTAACTAAATTATTAACGATGGCTTAGTTAATAATTTCCATTACGGATGATACAGGAATTAGTTCAATATACTATTTTCTCAGTTTCCATATGGAAATGTGGGAAATATTGACCAAAGTATTTAGGGAATAATCTTTTTTAAAATATAAGGCTTAATACATCTTTGACATAATAACTACTCCTTTAAAATAAAATGTGTATGCTGAATTAAGCGCCTCAAAAGGCAACTGAGTAAAGAGATAAGCAGATTTCGTAGAAAGGAAGGAAAACAAAGAAACACAGAAGAAATATTTATATTCTCCAGTGTTTCATTACAATAGGAAGCGGTAACTTCTTAAGAATTTGATGAAGTTAACAAGAAAGCAGATAAAACATTCGTCTTAATAAAAGGAACCAGCTTAAGAGAATAGCAGAACAATAGTGGTTTAGAAATTCGCAATATTACCTGATAAGAAGCCAAATTTAGTTTTATACATGAAATGCTATTGTAAAACCATTTTTTCTTCCTTTAAGCACAGAATCAGAAAACAATATAGAAAAAAAAATAAAGTGTAGTTTTATCAATGGAAACTTTCTACCTATTTTTTCCTTTACATTTAAAATCAAACATTCCGTTCTCTTAACCACGCACTGCCTTACACTTTTATTTAGACACCTCAGGCAAGAAATGAGTTAGTATATGTGTGCATTTAACAAGTACAGAACATATACGCATACAAAATAATTGGAAAATATAGTCAATCAAGAAAATTTCCTATTAGAGGTTCAAAACCATAGGAAACCATCCTGTAGCTTTTCAAATCCTTTATCAACATCCAGGAACTGAATGAATGTTCTTAATATTGTATGAACCCAATAAACATTTATTTTGCAAAACTAAGTAAGGCTCAAGGCAATAAACTACTTATTCAAAATACAATTCCAATTATTCTTTCTTTTTCTTTTTCTTTTAAGTCCCAGGAAATTGCAGCCAGAAATGGGAACTACTGCTGATGGCAGTTAACTAATACTGTTTTGCGTAATGTGAAGAGTATTGCATTCTGTATGTACTTGAAATTATACTGATTTTTAAATCTGTCCTTCAACGGTACGGATCTCATCTTTGTTGTGAAAATGCTGTATCAGCTATGGGGCTGCCTTTGAAGCGTAAAAAAAATATTGATTTGCCAATTATTGTGAAGATTGCAGCTAAATAATATTATGCAGCGCTTCCTGCTCAAAGGCAAAAAGACCCCCGGTACATGTTTTAATTCTGGTGTGCTTTGAAGAATCTTATTGACTTCGGACTTGAAACCCTGCAAAGCTTTACAAAAAGCATATGAGGCACGTTTGAACTCTTGAAAGCTATTGACTTACAACAGTTCATTTAGTGACTGTTCAAAGTTAGGATGACACTGAAAGAAATGCTTAGGACCATTTCCCCATGGTCACATGATTGAAGTTGAAATGCTTGGCAACTGACTCATATTTCATAGAATAGAATTCTTTACTGGCCAAGTGTGATTGGACACACAAGGAATTTGTATAATGGTTGCAGTGTCCCAGGGTTACATTTTGTGATGACTAGCATAGTCAATAGATAAGCCAATAGATTCGCTTAACAACCGGGTTGCTAACTTAACAACTGCATTGATTCACTTAACAAGTGTGGCAAGAAAGATGGTAAAATGCGGGCAAAACTCACTTAACAATGGAAGTTTTGGGCTCAATTGTGATGTAAAGCGAAGATTACCTGTATACCAATCTTCTGTCTTTCACATATCTTCATCACAGTTCCTGTTCCAGCTAGTTTGGTCTAGAGTTTATGGGCTAAAATTGTCTAGATCAGGGGTCTCCAACCTTGGCAACTTTAAGCCTGGAGGACTTCAACTCCCAGAATTCCCCAGGCTGAGGAATTCTGGGAGTTGAAGTCCTCCAGACTTAAAGTTGCCAAGGTTGGAGATTCATGGTCTAGATATTATAGTCCAGGGTAGCTAGAGGAAACCAGTTTGGGAAGGTTATGTTATATGAATGGCAAGCCTTGTTATTCGAATGACAAGTTTATTAGAATTAGATCCAGTTTGAACACACAATACTATATAAAATGGGAGAGAAGGAGAGAGAAGCAAGAAATCCCAGCTCCAACTTTTGGATCTGCGTGGCTCTCAATAAACAAGATACATTTTATTTGGAATTTTAGTTAGATGCCTTGCTTCTTTATGTCTGGAGTTCTGTGTTCTTGTTAGGAAAGGGAAAAGTGTTGATTTGAAATATGTTTCGAAATTGAAGGGTTATTTTAATCTCCCAGCAAGCTATTCCAATTACACCACAAATATTCCCAGTTTGAAACAGCCCTCATAGGATGGAACAGCCCATTTTGAACTCAAACTATTGCATTTGGAAAAAAATGTATCCACTACTTGGATTTGTCTAAATCAGATTGACATGAAATTCAGATTTGAAGAGTTTATCGAAGTTATAACCACTGAATTAGGTGATTGAGAATATCACTTCCTTTCAGCCCAATAGTATGTTGAAGGGCTTAGTGTAGCTTTTCTTCTCCAACTTGAGGTTCTCCATGTGTGTTGGGCTACTTCCAGGATCCTTAATTGGATTCTACCGTGTTTCTCCCGAAAATAAAATTGGGTTTGATATTAATTTTTGCTCCAAAGGACACATTGTGGCTGATTTTCTGGTTAGGTCTTGTTTTCTGGGAAATAAATGCGTCCATCTGGTTGACAATCTTAACTGGATCTTATTTTGGGGTTAGGGCTTATATTATGAAAATCATGCTAGGCTTTATTTTTTAGTTGGGTCTTATTTGGGGGGAAACTGGATAATACATCTGGAAGGAATCAATTTGGGAAAAGTTGCCAAAACTCGAAAGATGCGTTTATTTACAAGGCTGGGGAAGAATCTTTCTGATTTGGATAGCAACAATTCTACAAGGTTTTTCTGAAACTTTAAAATGGGAAGTATATGGGGCCTTTAGACTACTGTCTGGAGAGGAATACAGCTCTTGAGAATAGATTGATTCTATTCTAAAAATATTCAGAAATGTTTGGCGACAACTTTGTAACCTATAAAAGGTGATAATTTGAATGAATATCAGCATGGCATTTTGAAACCTGTACTATGGGGGAATAGGGCCAGTTCAGGGAAGAATGATTCATGTATCTATGTAAATAACTGGATTATATACAGGCAGTCCTCAATTTATGACCATTCATTTAGTGACCATTCAAAGTTATGGTGGTGCTGCAGTGTCCTTGTAGACACTTGATCACAATGCAGCAGATTTTCAACAGTCATGTATTTACACTGGTTGCAACATCCTGGAGTTACGTGATCCCCATCTGCAATTTTCCCAGCTGGCTTCTGATGAGCAAAGCCAGGGAGTAAAGCCAAATTCACTTAAAGACTGTGTGATTTGCTTTTAATGGCCATGGCAAAAAAGATCATGAATTGAGGTGCAATAATGTGATGACTCATTTAATGATTCTATTGTGGTCATAAGTTGAGGACTACCTATGTGGACTCCAGCAGCCTTGGATCCGGCTTGCTTAAAGTTCAAACTTGCTTGCTGTGATCGGACTACTGTAAGGCGTATATCTAGGTGTGATGCCTGCATGGCTAGCTGCTAGATACTATTGCTACTTTTATACTTCCACTGCAGCACCAAAGTTCTGTAAACCTAATATACCTGTATGTGTTGGTGGCTGTCTATAAATCAGCCATTTTCCTAATTTGGCTAAATGGCTAAAATGGCTAAATCAGCCATTTTGCACATAGATGATTTCTCCCCCCCCCAAATAAATTGGACTGTAAGTGTGCTTAAGTGTGTTTGTGCAAAGGATTTTGTGCAAAAGTATTGTGAGTACATGCACGCATGAAGAATTGTAAAAGCCAACTAAGGAACTCAGCCAAAAGAGTGCAGCCATCATGCAGCTCAATTTTCATCGTAGGCCTGAAAACTTTCAGCCCTCGAGTTCATTCGTTTTCTAAACTCAATCCCAGATTTGCATTTCAGAGTTGTCAATCTGCTTTATTAAGGGTAAGCTGTCATTGGCATTTAGCACTTCAAATCAAAAGGCTACGAAGGCAGGCTTTTAGCATAGTTCGGTGGTCGCTGGGCAAATCAGCATGGACAGCTCCTTCTCCCAAGAGAAAGAGTTCCCTTTCATGTTGCGCATAAAACCAGACGCTCTGCTTTTATCGCGGTGGCCTCGCACTGCAGACACAGTCGCAGCGTTCATGGTGCTCCAGTTGAATATCTATCAGTGACATATTGTGCTTGGTTTTGCCCCTCCTCCTGAGATGACCTGCTTCGGGGATAAATCTCAGCACCTAGTGAGATTAAAAAAAAGGAATCAGAAGGTAATTAGAACATGTAGGAATCTTCTAGGTACATCACCTCTCAATCATGTGGAAAGGCAATATTATTCTTCAGCCTTTGATTACATATTGATCTGGTGTGTGTCTAGTTCAAGTTAAAAAGAACCTCCCCCCCCAATCAACTTACATCTAGAATACTCCAGGTACTTTGGAAATGTAGGAAAGGGGAGGTTATGAGTGTAGGACCGTACAAACTGCCTGGGTTAACTTCAAGATAATTTCATTGATTTTGAAGTGATTGGTCAGAATGTTTGGTAAAAGTGATTTCCCTGGTAATCATTCTTAGGAAAGCAGAAGAGGGAGAAAGGAAAAAGGAGGAGAAGAAAAGAGAAAGGAGGATGAGGAAATGGAGGAAAAGGAGGAGGTGGTGGTAACTGGGATAAAAAAATAAGCCCCCCCCTCCCCAAAAAAGATAAATGATAACTAATCATTACAAAATCTCTGCTTTAGGCATATGACCCTACAACTGAAAAAAGATAAGAGAAAATGCTTATTTTAACTATAATCCAGGGGTGTCAAACTCAATTTCATTGAGGACTACATCAGGGTTATGTTTGATTTCAGGAGGCCAGATGGGTGTGGCCAGGGTGGGCATGGCCAGCTCAATGTCACTCATGTTGGGGGGCTCTGTGATGGCCTGATCACTCTGCCAGCGAAAATGGAGCTCGGGAGGGCCACACATGGTCCTCCCTAGCTCTGTTTTCATTGGCAGACGCTGCAGGAGGCCATTGCAGCCAAAAATGGAGAGTGAGAGGGCCTTGCACAGTTTTAGCTGGCAGAGGCACTGTGGGCTAGTCCTTTACTGTTTCCAGGGCAGCCCCACAGGCCAGATCTAAGCACTCCGCAGGTTGTATGTGGTCCATGGGCCTTGAGCTTGACATCCCTTCTATAACCAGTTTGGAACTTCATAATTTTCACTCTTACTCATCATTTCACCGATCCCTTCTTTGGAATATAATTAGGGCAAATTGACAGTGGAGACAATTCCTTAGTGGAATGATGGATGCTTCTTTGTTAGAAACAAAGAAGAGTTTGGTTCTTTGGAAGTTTTAATCTGGTTTTCTGCAGTAATAAAAGATTAATTTTGGTGGCTTTGTTTTATTATTCTATCTCCAAAAGGAAACTATATAGCTGAAAAGAAGATTATGGGTAATGGTAACCAAAATAATCATAGGGGGAACAATCCCCCTATGAGAAAGATTGCAGTTTTTGGACTTTGGTTATAAGTGTGTACAATGTATGTGTGAATGGAGAATATGGGGAATAAGAGGCACAAAAGAATGTACAACTTTATGTCTGATGCAGGAAAAGTAAAGTGTTTCCCTAAAAATAAGACAGGGTCTTATTTTCTTTTGACCCCCAAAATAAGCACTTGGCCTTATTTTCAGGGAGGTCCTATTATTTTTGAGATGCAGGAGACGACTAGCATGGTCACCTCATGGCTGCTGCTGTGTTGCCATATTTTTCAGGGGAGGGCTTATTTTAGCGCATGCACTCAAAAGCCCAATTGGGCTTATTATCTGGGGAGGTCTTATTTTCAGGGAAACAGGGTAGTGGTAGAAAACAGTGACCATCAATGATCTGAGATGTGAGGCACAAATGCCAGGTCTAATGAATTACTACAGTAACTGTGGAGCTCTGAAGAAAACATTCTTCTCATGATCCCTTAATACGTTGAAGGCCATATCAGTCCTGAATGTAGACCCATGATAATAAAACTGAGATGGAAAGTACAACTGGTATGCCAATTTTATAGGAATATAAAATATTATGATGTCCTTATGCGTTCCCATAGAATTGACAATATAGAAGAAGGAGAAAAATATGAGCCTGTCCAGAATTTCTGCCTTGTGACTCCACTGAAAACCCCTGATGGGTTTTACTTAGGTACTTTCCTTCGGTGAAGAATTGACTTGACATACAAACTTCATCACTCTTTATATTTCTGTTCTTCTTAAAAAAAACCTTTTTGATTTACTAGTGAGGGTTGAACAATCCACTGGATGAATGGCAGATTTTTAAAATGAAGTTTATATGGAAATAGATTAAATTTGAAGCTCAGAGTTGAAATTGTGTTGAGAATTGTGGTTTATCATTAGGGATAGATGATCAGGCGATTTGCAGTTATCTTAGTTTCACAGGTATTTCACTTGCTCACATTCATGTATATCTGTGGCAACTGCCACTCTAAAGGACTTATTCTCACTAAGAAATACTTTACATGGGAACCTTATTTTGTTTTACACACACAAACACACACGCACACACAGCTGTGTGTGAGTATGTTCCAGCATAACTCTGGAATCCCTCGAGCAATTTCAACCAAACTTGGTACACAGATGTCTTATTCTCTGGAAACAAATACTGTGGGGGTGACATATCCCTGGGGGGGGGGTTCTGTTATGATACAGCCTGTGGTGCCTTAAAATGGCTTCTACTGTACCGCCTTAAAATGGCTTCTACTGCACAGCACAGTGGAGTTGCCATGGTAATGGCTTCACAGTACTCCACAAGGGGGCTCCCTCTGGTAAGAGGGAAAATCCAACATTACATTTGGTCCGGACATTTGTGAATGTCTAATACAGGATTGGGATACCCAGGCAACGCCAGGTTAACAGTTAGTAATCAAATAAATGAAAAAAGGAGAAAAGAGGAAAGCTTCTCACTGGCCCTTTCCTCTCCTAAGGTATTGAAAAAGGGGATTCTCATCTGCCCTGCATGTAAGATTAATTCTGAAATTCAGTCCCTTGCGGAACTGGCAGTGGTCCACAGATACATACACACAGAGAAAGATAATACATACATACAAAGAAAGAGGAGGAGGAGGAGGAGGAGGAGGAGGAAGAAGAAGAAAGAGAAGAAGGAAGAAGAATAATGATCCGTTCCTGAGTTCACATCAATCTTACCTTTGATGTATCCAAAATAGATTTATTTTCACAGGTTCCATTAATATTAGATTTATACCCATTGTACTATTAATTCAGCAGTAAAGGATACATATACAGAACATCTAAATTTACCATTGCCAGGTCATTTGAAGTTGAAGCTAGAACACCATCCTTAATAATGTTAGCCTGTAATATCATAAGAATGGAATAGTCCTGTGGCACATCAGGTACATAATTTTCCTTTCTTTTATATATTGAGCCCTGGAATGTAGGACTTTCCACATGGAACTGACCACATAATCCTTTCCCTGGTTACACATCAGCAGGCAACAGAACTGTTAAAATTAAGCAGTTCCATCATAAATTAAGTTAACCTTTGGCTACGAGGTAGGTATTCCATCTCTATTTCGGAATGGGTATATTTATTTTTCCTGCTTCTGTCCATACAATAAATTCATACCGCTTTTAGAAATTTCTCCACATCTCTAGCCTAGGCAATCTGTACAAATGCCATTGGTCTGAACCCACCCTTCTCCTAAAGTCAGTTCAGCAATCACATTCCTGAGAGAGGAGCATTGAAGCATGATGGCAGGCTTTGTCAAGCTGCAGCTCTGCAAACGTTTATTTTAAATGGTATTTGTTTATTTGAACCACCATTCTCATGCTTTTTGTTCCTACATACTTGTCCAAAGTTCCAGAAGCAAGACTAGACTAGACTAGACTAGACTAGACTAGACTAGACTAGACTAGACTAGACTAGACTAGAATAACAGAGTTGGAAGGGACCTTGGAGGTCAACCCCCTGCTTAGGCAGGAAACCCTACACCACTTCAGACAAATGGTTATCCAACATCTTCATAAAACTTCCA